GGAAGGGAGAATGACTGGTGCACAATCGTGGGTGTCACAACGAAACATATGGATCTTCCTGTTTCTATCTCGATGAAGCTCTATACCCCCCCGAGCTGGTCAGCCCGCGAGTGAGCGCTCTCGACCCGAGGCCCGCAAGACAGAGCGTGGCTCGAGGTCGGCGGGCTCACGAGCTCGAGGTATATACCGCCAGTAAGTTGGTAGGGAGATGCCCATTTCTAGCTGAACGGTTTCCAGGAAGCGACAGGCCTGCGGTGTATCTGTAGCCACTTCCATCTCTGACTGCCGCCCGCCGTGTTCTTGTACCTACTAGCTGTGATTCTGTAGAGCCGAGAAGCCATGTACCATTCCTGAGATGTACTAGTCCGCCAATGATGGCCTATGTGTAAACGTATGGTCCAGAAATGCGCAATCACCGCTTGACAATAGTTACTAAAGTCACACAATGTCGACCAAGGTTAGGAACTCCTCACGCTGATAACACCCCAAGGCCCATGGTTAGGGGGAGGAACACGCACCGATATCTTCGTCAGCCAGCTCGTGGCTGAGGCCCACCCTTTGCGGCTGGTGCTTGACGGATTTTCCGTACACAATGGCCGTCTTGAACTGGTCGACGATGCTGCGATGAATCGCGCTACACTGTAGATTGGGGCGCCAAGTCAGCAAGAAGAAATAGCTGACAAGTGGCTGGCCGGCAAGGTAGCAGGCGTCTCCTGAGACGCCGCCACCACAAGTCAACACTTACAAAGTCCTCCACGGTGCACTTGGAAGAACGGAGCACCACAGGCTGTGAGTAGTCTGGCAGTTTCCCCTTGGGCTTTGTGTAAACTCGCACGAGGTTCAGCTTCTCCCACCTGCAGACAAGAGCCACATGTTAGCACAGGCTGGAAACCAAGGGGTTGTATAGCCTGTCGTGATGGCAAGGAAAAGGGTCATGCTCAGCCTTACATGGCCTCCATGAGCTCGTCTATGTTCCAGCCGTGCTCCGAGCTGATGGGCACCGAGTTGGGGATGCGGTATAGCAGATCGAGCTCCTCTATGCTGATGGCGTCAATCTTGTTGAGCACATAGACAACGGGGATGTAGCTTCGGCTCCTGGCCTCGATGACATCGATCAGATCGTCGACCGTGGCGTCGCAGCGGATGGCAATGTCGGCCGAGTTGATGCGGTACTCGGACATGACGGCCTTGATCTCGTCGTTGTCGATGTGGGTGAGCGGCTGGGTGCTGGTGATGTTCAGGCCGCCCTTGTCCTTCTTCTTGACAGTGATGTTGGGCGGCGACTTGTTGATCCGGATGCCGAAGCCCTCGAGCTCCGTCTCGATCACGCGCTTGTCGGTCAGGGGCTTGTTGACGTCGAGGACGATGAAGATCAGATGGCAGGTCTTGGCGACTGCAATGACTTGACGACCACGGCCGCGGCCGTCCTTTGCACCCTCGATAATTCCGGGGAGATCGATGATTTGAAGCGGAGCGCCTGCATGTGTCCATAAGCGTGCCACCGTCCGTCAACGGTCAGCTAGTGAGTCTGAAGTGTGAAGGACAAACCTGGGGCGGCGTACCGTTGTATACGACCTGCCCGGGTACCGAGGTCAGGGTTGTGAACTCGTAGGCGGCCGCCTCGGAATGTTGGCCCGTCAGCCTGGTCATCAGCGTGCTCTTGCCGACTGACGGGAAGCCGATGAAGCCGACACTGGCGACTCCGGTCCTTGCCACGTCGAAGCCCGCGCCGCCGCCGCCGCCACCACCGGACGGCGTCAGCAGCTCGCGCTTGAGCTTGGCCAGCTTGGCCTTGAGCTGGCCGAGATGGTACGACGTCGCCTTGTTCTTTTGGGTACGGGCCATCTACACAGGGCGGGCGGACCGAAGGGCGAGGCAGTCCGGATGCTTCAGTCATGACGACCTCGCGCAAGCGATGCTGTCGGGGGTTGGGGGCTTACTTCGGCCTCGACCTCTTTGATCTAGATGTTGCGCACCACAGACAGTTAGCATCTGCCTTCTACCTGCCCATGGAAAACCCAAGCCCATGTCCACCGGCACTCGCTCGCTTCATGGGTCCCGGGCCGATCTGGTTTGGGTTCCGAGTCCAGCCTCGGCTGCCTTACCTTCTCCACCGTTGTCGACATGGTTGCTGTTTCGATCGCAACCGCAGTCGGCCAATCAGATGTTTTGTACTCGTACTATAGCGGGATGTATATGCGCTGCCTGTCCGTCGGGCTGGGAGTGGAATCGGTGGCTCTGAAAGGGACCTCGTCGTCGCAGGTTGTCGCGCTTAAGCGGGAGCTTTGTTGATGAAGAGTTTTGTGGGGCAAAGTCGGCTGTGGAAAATGGGGGCATTCTCTGCCCCTCTGCCCGTGGCTTGGCCTGATGTCACCAAACGCCCCACACCCCAGGCCTCGCTCGACGCATGAGCTGCCAGTCATAAATGGCAAGTTGCGTGTGGAAATTCAACAAGAGACGAAAAGGCCATTGGGATATCTTTGCTATTGACATTCGTAACAAAAGAGACAGCATGCAAGACCAAACTACCGAACAACTCTCTTGGCTAGCAACTGATCAAACGTCCATCTTCCGCGTCGTCATCGTGGCGCCTATGTATACGTTGGTAGGTAGGACAGAGTAATAAGTACAGATATGGTAGGTGACAAGTTATGTGGCCCACACCCACGGGCAGCCCATCCGGGAAAAGAAATAGGACAACAAGGAGAGACAACATCATGGCTCATACATGGCGGTTTCATGAATCACCGAGTGGGCGATGTCCAGGTAGCAAAGATCCTTGATCAGATCTATCCCCATGGCAGCGTCAGTTCTTAGCCAAGTTTCACCAGGCCGTTTACAGTGCCGTTTATACCGTTCACTAATGGCTGGGGGTCCTGCCTGGGCTCCACGATTGTGGTGGCTGGCATTGCCCTTGGTGACAATGGCGACGAGGCGCGTGGGTTTTGCGACACATCGGGGCTGTGCGCGGTGCCGTTCACGGGTGCTGTTGTTCGTGGCCCATCGCCGCTAGATTCGTCCGTGGATAGTCGCCGTGCAGTGCTGGCGCTTGTCGCTATCGTGGGTGGGGACGAGGCGCCATTGATCAAAGGAGACGGGGTCGGATGGCTTGCCTCGAGGAGGTGCTCTAGCCCTTGATCCTTACAGTGGCGAGCGTATTCTGGGTCGTCCGGGGGGATCATCACCGTCCCGCGCCTCGGGACGCGATGCTCGGGGAATGGAGTCTTGCTGACGGCGCTGAGGCCGGGCATCTGCTCCTCCACCATGACGCCGTTCAGGTAGTACTTCTTTCTAGGCGCAAAGCCGTAGAACCTGTTTGCGTCCGGATCGATCTTCCACTTCTGGCATGACTCCCACTTGAGCGACTCGTCCTCGGGCAGCTCCCTGTACGCCATGGCAAGCCTGACGTTGCTGAGGTGGGGGATGTTGGGTACTATGAACATCAGCTCCGAGGCCTGTGATCGTCAAGCACGCAACACTGTTAGCTAAGCTCTCCCAAAGCAGCCCTACTGCAAGTCCTCTCTGCCAGGTCGGGGCTCGTACTGACCTTAACAAAGAACATGTCCATCTCCAAGAACCGCTCCATGGCTTCCTGGCGCAGACGCTCGACGGTGCGGTAGGCCAGCTTCTCGGGGTCCTCGCCATCGTAGTAGCCAGGGAGTTGCAAGCCGAGATCGTAAAGGTTTGGCGTCGTCATGGCGTATCGGTCGGACTCGAGCCTCCAGATGACGATCTTGGCTATCCTCGAGACGGGGACTCGTTCCCACGCCGTGTAGCGCGACAGCTCCAGGTCCTTCTCTCCGAGCAGGAGTGCAACCTGCGTGTTGAGGAGCCATTGTTCCCTGCCACCAGGGGTGCCGGTCGCCTCGGGCCGGATGCAGTCGTATCGGACACCCTGCATGGTGCTGAACTTCTGCGCGATCTCGGGGGATTTCGGGTTTGCGCATCTGTCGAGCCAGCGCAGCAGCGGCGGCAATCTGTCCAGCCGACGGGCCTCCTGTTCCAGAAATACTCGGCGCTGTTCCGCCTCCCTGGCCGCCCGCCGCCTCTCGGCCTCTCGTACCCGCTCCTGTTCTTTGCGGCGCTCCTCTTCTTCCTCTTTTCTCCGCGCCTCTTCGGCAGCCTCTCTCTGGAGTTGCTCCTGGCGCTTGCGTTCCTCCTCCTCCAGCCGTTTCCGCTCTTCCTCGAGCTCCCTGAGTCGTCGAGCCTCGGCCTCGGCCTGCCGCCGCTTTTCCTCCTCCTCTTGTCGCTTCTGCTCTTCCTCCTCTTTGCGCCTCTTTTCTTCCTCCAGACGTTTTCTCTCGTCCTCCTTGCGCCTCTTTTCCTCTTCGGCCAAACGCCTCCGCTCTTCCTCCTCTTTGCGCTTGCGCTCCCTCTCTTCTTGCTCGGCCTTGAGCCGTTTCTCCGCCTCATCAGCCTCGCGCTGGCGCCTCTCCTCTTCCTCACGCCGCCTCCGGTCCCGCTCCTCTTTTTGCTTGCGCTTCTCTTCCTCGGCTAGACGTCTGTCCTCCTCCTCCTCTTTGCGCTTAGCTTCTTCCAGTGCGTCTGCTTCGGCCTTTGCTTGAGCATCCGCTCGGGCTTGGGCTTCTGCCTTCGCTCGAGCTTCTGACTGAGCCCGGGCTTCCGCCTGCGCCACTGGTCGAGATTCGGATTCGGCACGTGCAGCCTTCGAGTCTGGCTTGGCTTGGGGTGGCTGAGTCTCGTGTTCCTCAGCCGGCTGGCTAGCGTCGCGCATCTCGACGTCGACATCCTCGGATTTGACATGGATGCTCCTTTCAACAGAAGCAGCCTTGATTGGATCTTTTCTTGCGCGAGCCACCTCAAGCTTTTTGTTCTTGGGGAGCTCTGTGCGGTCTTCAGCGTCATGGTCCCGGCGGGACTTTGTCGTGACATCCCGCTGTGCGGCCGACTTCGGTTGACGATCGTCAGGAGAAGGTGTGATCTTTAGCTTCTTCTCTTTTCCGTCTACGTCGAGTCTCCGCCTCTTTGTAGGTACATTCTCGCCGTCCTTCTCTGACGAGGCGTGAGGCGGAGTTGCGCTGGATCTGTGGCGCTTGGTGGAACCCTCGCTAGAAACGGAAAGACGGTCTCGAGACTCGTCTCGTTTGAGCTGTTTAGTCCTGTCCATGAACTTCTCCAGCTTGGGCTTCTCGGAAGATTCATCCCGGCCATCTCTAGGACTGGATGGCTCTTTCAGTGAAGAGGCTGTCGAGACCATGCTTGCACGTCTCTGCTTCTCCCTCTCGCCCTTCAGGTCCTTGCCCGAGATGAGTTTCCGTCTCGGCTTGACGGCTTCACCCTCAGAGGAGACGGCAGAGATGTCGGGCTCTGTGCGTTTCGGCTTGAGCTGCTTGGACGAGGCAGGAGAAGGGTCACGGTCGGGAACCGCGATTGTTGGCAGGCGATCTTCCTTCGGGCGGCCAGAGCCTCGCTTCGGGGGCGACGGGTCGTCTCGGTTGGCAATGGCCGGTTCCGGACGGCGTTTTTCTTTGGGGCTAGTAGGCGGCCTTCCGGATGCGGTTTTCTTTGTCTCGGTGGCGGGGCTGGACAACTTGCGTTTTTGAAGCTTGGACGGCTCCTCTTTGACCTCGGATCGGGGGAGGCGCTTCGAATCCTTCTCTGGATCACGGGCAGCTGGTGACTTTGTTTTGCCAGTTTCCTTGTGGCTCTTCCTGTGGGCATCGTACGCATCCTTGAGCATGTGCTCCTCCTCCTTCCAGTTCGGTCCTTGACGTCGCCGTGCGATCTCGTGGTACGCCTCGTGCTTGAACTTGCGGGTTGGATCAAAATTTCCCTGCGTCAGCAAAAGCTCGACAACCTTGATGTTTTCCTGCCCAATGGCAGCAAGCATCGGGGTCGCAAACTCTGGAGGCATGGAGGCGACGGGACCCGGGTCCGGATTGGCATTCCCGAGCGCCAAGAGGAGGTTGATGATCATGTCATGGCCTCCTCGAGCCGCAGCCACCATGGATTCCGGGTCGTCGAATCCGTCCCTGACCTGCAAAATTCGAGTCACGGTCTCCTCGTCGCCTCTACCAGCAGCCTGGCGCAAAGTCTTGTCGTCCATGGGCATATAGAGAAGATGGTTGCTGGTCTTGGTGGCCCGAACGGTGCCGGCCCGCCTGCCTGAGGACGATCCGGCGTGTGGGTTCCCCGTGGCAGGAGAGTGTCGTGGGCTCTCGGGCCCGTGTGAGTCGCGTCCGTCGGGGTACTTGGCATTGTGCTCCTCCGACGTCCGGCGTCTCTCGCCGGCCCTCTGCTTTGCTTCCACCAGCAAACGTCGAATCTCGTCAGCATTGTCTGTCTCGTCGGTGATGCGGTCAAGCGGCTCTTCGCCATTAACGTTGGCTTTTCGAGGATTCACACCGGCGTCCAGCAACAGCTTCACCACCTCGACGTGGCCGTTCTCCACGGCGTCCAGCAGCGGAGTATCCTTGTCATAGTTTACGCAGTCAAGAGCACACCCCGCCTCGATCAGAAGGTTGACAATATCCTCGAAACCGTTAATTGAGGCGATCTGAAGTGGGGTGTTTCCAGCAAAATCGGCGACATTGAGATCCTCGGGACGTTCACCAAGGCGCTGTTTGGCGGTATCGTATTCGCCGCGTGCACACGCGCGTGCAAGAAAAGTCTGTCCGTGGGCATCCAAATGCTTCTTGTGAGGCGCGAACTTGGCAGGCGACATATTTGCTTCGGCGGTCGCGGGCGTGGCGAGGCTGCGAAGTTTGGAGCCACGTATGCGGGGACTATCCCCGGGCGAAGAATCGTCAGAGTGGTAGTCGGTAGACTGGAGCGGGGCAGGGATACGCTTTTTCTTGTGGCTCAGGCCGTTTGAGGATTGCGAAGGTGGCAGCTGAGTCGAGATACTGCGGCGGTGAGCACGAGGCGGGGGTGATATGGATCTGATACTGGCAGCAGCTTGACTGTCATGGTGATGGGATTTTGCAGACGACTTCGAGTGAGCGTGGCCAGAACCAGAGTTGGCTGCGTGGTGGCCGGTGCTGTGGCTATTGTTGTGTTGACCGCCGTGGTTATTATAGCTTCCACCGTTGGAGTCGCGTGCTGGCTTGGGCATGTCCTTGTCGATGGCCGAGGTGCGCTGGCGACGCGCCTTGTGGCTTTCTGACTCGTCTTCGGATTCGGCCTTTGGCGCCTTCCGCTTGTGGGGGACGAGCCGGTCGGTCGGTCGGTGCTTCTCCTTGGCGACAGGACCAGGTGGCTTGGGCGATCGTGCACGAATGGATTCCGAATCCGAGGCGGCGGATCTTGCAGCTGAGAGTCGGCGTCGGCGAGGAGGCTGTTGTGGCTGCTGCTGCTGCTGCTGCTGCTGCCGGCCGTTGTTGTTATTGTGGGATCCAGCCTGCTGCTGTTGGTGTGGTGGAGACGCTGGGGCGGAGCTGAGTCCGCTGGAGCATTGCTCAGGCTTGACCCGTGGCTTCACGCCGTCCGGCCCGCCGTGTAGACGCTTCCTCTTGAACGCGCTGGCCGCCGACTCGCCGCTGTCGCGAGCAGGCGTGCTCTTGCGGCTGCGGCTGTCGGCACCATCACGAGCGTCACGGGCAATCGTCGACGACTGCTTGCGCAGCGCGACGGGGGTGGCGCCGCCGTGCTCTCCATCACTCCTCGCCTCGTGCTTTATCGCCTTTCGGGCCTTGATGGGAGAGCGATCGTCCTTGCCGGCCAGGACGATTGTTTCGGCCTCGGAGTTGGCGTCGGTGCCTCCATCGTCGTCGTGCGCATGGGCAGGGGCTGGGGGCTTGGGATCTTTGGCATTCGGCGATGCCCTGACGGCGGCGGGGGACTTGCGGCTCAAGGACGGCTTCGAGTGAGTGCTGTTGCTGCTGCTGTTATTGTTCTTGATGTGGTTGTTCTTCTCGTTGTTGGCGGTCGCGGTGTTTTTGTTGGGGTGATTGGTGATGGTGTTAGGCTCTGGTGCGACCGGCTTGGGAGAAGCGACGTGCTTCCTGGAGGCGGCTTCGACAGCATTTTGCGCGTCCATGACATTCAATTCGAGGGAATGCGGCTGCTTTGCACCATGCTGGGCACTCGAGGAAACGCGATGATGATGCAGAGCGGGCGGATGGAATGGGTGATTGATTCGCTTTGACCAAGCGAAGCGTCACCAGCCGTCCGAGTCCAGTGGGTTGGGGGAGGGTGGTGGATGGGTCAAGCAAAACTCGCGAGCCAGCCCAGGCCAGATCAAGGGCCAAGCAAGCGTGTGGGTGACAGGGTATGTCGGGACGGGCGCTGAGTCGCTCGCTCTCGTTCTCACTCACGCCACCGGCTAGCCACTACAGCATACAAACGAGGACGAAATAAAAATAAAGATAATAAAAAAAATGAATAAAAGGTGGAAAAGTCAAGACAAGAAATGCGGAACAGGGCGATGTCCCCTTCTTGTTAGGCAGAGTAGGAACACAGGAAGAAGAAAAAAGAGAGACAAAAAAAAAAATTAAAAAAAAAAGGGGCGTCCGGTAGGTGCGGCAAGAAACAGACTGCCCTCTGAAATGGTCGCCTCCACCAGCGTCGCCGTGGTCTTCTTCCTGTTTGCTGTCCAGGCTCACTGTGCCTTGATTTTTCTTAGTTTGGTTTCTTTTTTTTTGTCCTTCCTTTCTGTCCCCTTTAGCCCCCCTAAACAAAACTTCATGGTACTTTAGCTGAATGACTGCGAGGTGAGGTATCGATAGGTTATGCGCGTTTAGATGCAGAAGGACGAAATCACCGAGAGTGGAGGATTCGAATTCCCTTCCCGAAGCACCAAGACCAAGGATCAGAGGCTACTGGCCATCCAATTGGCAGAGGCACGTAATTACGGCGGGCGGCAGACACACCCGCCGCTGTTTTCTTGGTCAAAGTCCGGCGCACGCTGCTGCTGCTGAATGTCCCAGTCGAAAAGGGACGGAGGCGCGCCCAGGCTGGGTGTGGGTGCGAGCCCACCCCGTGCTGGTCCCTTGTCCCTCCCGCCTCCAGCCCGCAGCCTGCCAATCTGCGCATCGAGGGCAAGGGTGCACCAAACAGCCACGGGGGCGGCCAGCAACTGCACAGACGGACTAGAGAAGTTAGCACGGCGCTGCCAACATTGAAAAGGCCCGGCGCGCGAGGTCGTCCGGCCCTGGAGGTCCTGGCATGAAAAACAAGGTCAGGAGCCGTGAGTGCCTGTGTGGCATCTGGTGTCTGGTCCATGTGCTTGTGGTTCTGCGCTTCTTCTGCTTCTTCTGCTTCATGTTTTGCTTGTCATTCCCCATTGCGTGGCGAGGTGCCTCACACCTCGCACAGCGGCAGCAGGCAGCAGGCAAGTAGCAGGCAGCAGGGCAACAGTAACGGAACGGGAAGTAGCGTGTATGGTTGCTTGCATGAGTTTAGGCAGGCTCTGCCTTGCCCCTTGGCTGGCGCAAGCTCGCCCTCTCGCTCGCTTGTTGGATGGGATGGTTTGTTATGCCCACAGGCTGACGCGGGGGCCTTCGGGGCACCGGGCCCTTGCCGTTCCGACACAAGTCGCCGCCAGGCAATGACCGGTCATGTGAAAAAGGCAAGGTCGTATCCGGGTGTGTTTTATGCAGAGCACAGGTTATGGATGCCCGTCCTGGCCATGCGCAGACAGTCTGACACTGGCAAATGCTTGGTATTCTCCGCCTCCTGTGGGGGTGTTTAATCCACCCTCCATCCGCTGCCCCGCCAGTCAACAGCCAGCTCCATTCGCATCATCGTGTCTTTTTGCTTTTATTGCGTGTCCTCGCTCGCCGCCTGTGCCGCAAAGATGGACTCGGACCTGTCTTTGGAGCCGCCCTCTCCCCCAAGCCTCCCGCGTTTACCCGCATCCCTCGACGAAGTCGTCCTTACCAGGCTCCCAGCAAGGGCATTCTACATCGCCGACTTCATCACCGAGGAGGAGGAGCAGCACCTGCTCTCCAAGGTGCGCACCTCGCCTGGACCTTCTCCTGCCGTTGAACAGGCCTGGGCTGTTCGCTGACTGGCACTCGGCGCTCCCACGTTCAGATCGCATCGGCGCCCAAGCCAAGGTGGAAGCAACTCAGCCACCGGCGTCTTCAGACATGGCCCTCTGATCTGGTCAAGGACACCCTTCTGGACGCTCCGCTACCAGGATGGCTGATGGACCCTGTTGTGTCGCGACTCACCTCGATCCCGCTCGTAGGCGACTCGGATGAAGCCCACCGAATGCTGTTCGATGAAAGCCCCCACAAGGCACCCAACCACGTCCTCATCAATGAATATCCCCCTGGCGTTGGAATCATGCCTCACAAGGTAGGTAGGGGTGCCACTGAATGTGTCGATGTGTCGGAAGACTCAACTCCTTCCTCTTGATCTAGGACGGGGCAGCATATCACCCCATTGTATGCACCATCAGCCTCGGCGCGAGCCTGTGCCTCAACATATACCAGAGCAAGGAAGACGGCGCATTGGAGCCGGAACCGGCTTGGAGAGTACTGCAAGAGCCGCGTAGTCTCCTAGTCACGACCGAGAACCTGTACATGGATTATCTCCATGGCATAGCGGACATCGACGCCGACGTTGACCTCTCTAGGGACACCGTAGCCAACTGGGACCTGCTCAGGTCGAGCAAAGAGTTTGAGGGAGGGCGAAGCGAGCGCGGAGTGCGGACGAGCCTGACCTATCGGGACGTCATGAAGGTGTCCAAGCTCGGGAGCAAGCTTGGCTCGTTCCTAAAGCGGTAGCCATGATGGACGAGTCCCCCCTACTTGAAGCCGGCCAGACTAGGGCAAGAGTGCCTGTCTAGTACACGAGCGGGATCATTATCCACCGCGACCCCATACTCGACGCCCCAAACTTGTCCATATACCACTTCCGCGTCCCATGCGCTGTCGCTCCGAGGTTCACCACCACGAATAGAAATGCTGATACGATGGTCCGGTTGGAGATTTGGCCCTCTGGCGCTGCCACGGCCGCCAGTGATAGGTATAGGAGGCACTCGCAGGTGTAGTGCGGACAAACCAAGTACTGGAATAGCCCCTGGGTGGGAAGCGAGTACTTCTTCAGGCTGGCCAGATGCCTGTGGCACCTGTACTGCGCAGCCGACACGAGGACAAACATCAGCGACCCCAGTGCTACCTTGATCGAGGGTAGCTGTGTGGATAGGGCCGAGACAGGCTGGGGATCCAGGATCAGAGCTTCGGAAATGAGTCAGCAGGGAGCATTACACTGCGTCTTTGCCACACTGGGCGTCGTCTGTCTTGGTCTCATGCATACCTGCGCCTTCTATCCACACGGCGATGCTCATGACCATGTAGAAAGCCATACCCAACATCCAGTGGATGACCCACATGGTGGAAGCGGACTTTTTAACGACAAAGACTTGCTCATAGAAGCGCCGGACTCCCTGAAGGGCCATCAGTGCCCAGGCCGCGAAGACGCCCTGGGCGACATGAGGGCTGATCCGGGAGGCCAGCTTGCCCTCTGGTAGGTCGGGGCGCTGGCTAGAGGCGAGCAGACGTATGGCGCTGCCACTGACGGCGTACTGGTATGCCCAAAAGGCGGAGCATGCCAGAAACGTGGCGTAAAAGCTGCCGAACCACCAGTGCGGCACCTGACCCCACGCCGTGAGGGTGGAGACCAGAGCCTCGAGCCAGCCGCTCCCAGTGGAGAGGCGGTCACCGTTGGCGCCGGAGCTGCGAGCGCCATACCCAAGGAGGAGACAGCCGAGCCGCGGGGGTAGGACGGTGACGGCCAGGATGCCAGCAGCGGCAAGGGTGAAGAACGACTGGCACCACTGGGCTGGAGAAAGCCACGGGATGGCGGCCGCGATGTGATCCATCGTCTGCGGATTGGTGGTGGAGGCTTCAAGTTCGGATCCCGAGTCCGACCAACGATAGGGCCGAGTCAGACGCACGTTTGGGTTGATGGGGAAAAAAGCTTGAGATTTCGACATCCGAAGTGTCCCTTTTTTTTTTGGCCCCAACAGGATCTGCCGGAAACCCGTGCTCCCACCATGACGGACACGCTGGGCGGATCCTGATTCGGGCGCCAGTAGAGCTTTGACTCGCCTGGGTGCGTGCTCGACGTGGTCCAGGGCGCCTTGACCTCTGGCTGGGCTTAGATTGGCGCAATCCGCCGCGGCCGAAAAGGCACGGTTTGCAAAAAAAAAAAAAAAAAAAAAAAAAAAAAATAACAGCAAGCGTGCCTCCGGGCGGGCGGATCGTGGCCCGCTTGAGCTTGAGCTTGACGTGCAGAGAGAGCCGCGGATGCCTATTTCAGCACTAGGGTCGGGCCCAAGGTTCAAGCCCGCTCCCCATAGCGTCCTTTGCCCGTGGAATTGTCAAAAGACTGACGTCGAGGTCTGGCTCCTTCTACTGTGGCGGGCACGTCCGGCACAGGCCAAACAAAAATCCCCTTTTTGTTCTCTTCCCTCGGACTGTCTCCTTTCTCGTCTTGCGGTATGGGACTTCGTCCCAAGCCACATTGGCTTTCCACCGGCAGCGCAGCACAGTAATAAATATTCCACTTGACGCCACCCCGCCCGCCCCTCAGGCTTTTTATACTCCCCTCACACAAAAGGATGCCGTGTTCTAGACCGTAGTCGGCTCATTCGCCTGCCCTCCATCCCGCCCACCAAGCAGGTCGAGGCTTTTTGGACCCGTCCCTACGTGCAATTAAGAAACTGCATATATCTGTTCTTGGACCAACAACCGACAGATTGCGTGCCCCCCTCCCTCCGGCCTACCCCTAGTCATCAACCTAATCATCCGCGTACCTACTCCTATCCTGCCGGCTTATGAAAGGTGGTTTTATTCCTGCTTTGATCTTCATTTAGACGCCAGCCCCTATTTACACCTTGCAAGAATGACGGTATGGTTCGTCTGGAAACGCCGATAAAAGTCCTCCGGGGGTGGCTAACAAAGTCAACGCGAAGGCGCCCTACCCCCAGGTCGTCCTCTTCGGGGACTCTCTTTTCCAATTCGCCAGTGACCTGAAAGGCGGCTTCTCGTTCGAGGCTGCTCTCCAAACATGTTCGCAACATCCTCTCAACCATGCCCTTTCCCGACTTCGGGGCTTGTCCAGACTTGTGCTGACGGCCCGTCGCTACTTCTTCTCGCCGAAATGTCGTAGACTGCAGCCGCCGCTATGATGTCGTCAACAGGGGATTCTCCGGGTACAACACGTCTCAGGCCCTGAAGATCCTGCCCCAGCTTTTCCCCGCCCTGCGGCCCTCGGGACCTAAGCTGGAATATCTGGTAAGTTTATCTGTGGACGGCGGCGATCAGCATTGAGAAGGGCGAGACCGTGGCGGAGACCGCCGACTTACACAAGACCTCCCTGAGGCCTGCCTTGTCACCTAGATTGTGCTTCTCGGTGCCAACGACGCCGCTGTCACGGTTCCGGTCGACTGCCAACACGTCGACATGGACAAGTACCGGGCAAACCTCAAGACGATCATCACCCACCCTAATATCACGGCTCACAAGCCCAAGATCCTCCTGGTAACGCCGCCGCCATTGGACGAGATCCGCGTGGCCGAGCTGGACCTGGCGAACGGCCACCCGCACGTGCTGCGGCACGCCAAGGTCAGCGCGGCATACTCGCAGACGGCCCGGGAGGTCGCCGCCGAGGTGCCCGGGACTGTGGCCGTCGACCTGTACCAAGAGATTATGGATTATGCCATCACCAAGACGCCGGGGTTCGATTCCAGCAGCGGGCTCCTCGGTGATCCGACGACCGGCAAGCGCGGCTACCTGGAGCACTTGCTACCGGATGGCCTCCACATGAGTGGCGAGGCGTACCGCGTCTTTTTCGACGCCGTCGTGCCACACATTAAGCCGCAAGACCCCAAGCAGCCACAGGCGGGATGGACTTTTCCCGAATGGAGAAAGGCACCGTGGCTCGAGAGCTGATTTGGGGCAGGAATATGGTTGTGCACAGCCCCAGAAAGAAGTAAGGGAGCTGAGGAGGTGTCGGTGAACATGGAGTCAACACGACAGAGTAAAGTCAAAGCCTTGTCGGTGCCCGCTGCACTGGCTTGGCACGTCCACCCCCAAACGAAAGTGCACACGACAGGTGAAGCGCCGGTATAAAAAGAAGAAATGAGACATGGAAAAGACGTCAGAAATAGGAAATATGACGCATGGGAAGTCGAGCCGACACAGTAGATTAGGTATGGGCAGTATATGAAGTGTTGAATGACAATAAATATGGGAAATAGGAACGAGGTAGAGACAGCTCCAGGACAGACAGGTCGAAGCTGAAGGAAGGCTCGACGCTGACGCTGACGGCATACCCCGTGCGGGCTACAGTGTGATGGCACAGTGATTCTGGGTCCACCCAATTGTTTTCTCCGGCGTGCGCACCCGCTTTTGATGATCCAGTCGCCAGCCCGGCTTTCCCGTCGACGTTCAAGACCAGGGCCCTGTGCAAAAGCAACAAGAAGCTACCAGTACCAAGAGCAAGAACCGGAGCAAGGACAAGAGCTCACCTGCCTTTCCGTCCGTCTGTAGCGCATCCATCTTCACCCACCTGAGCCTCCTCCACCTCTCCTGCCCCCTTTCTGCGCGAACCGTGCTTGCATCTGCCTGCCCTGGCACCTCCACCTGCCTCAGCTGGTACCCATCCACCAACCTGCCACCGACGGGTACCTGCCGCCCCCTTTCCCGCACATCTCCCGACCTAAATACCGACACCCTCTCGGTCCCGTCACCGAGAATCATCCATCGCCGCCGCTGATAGCTACCGACCAGCCTGCCTCGCTCGTTCCGGCAACCTAGCCTAGAATCCCAATCCCAACCCTCGGCCCGCACCACCCACGAAACGAGCGGGACCTACGACGACGTTGCACACAGCTGCCGTACGAGCGAGCTAGACCAATTGACACGACAGCTCGAGGCGCGCTCCTGCCTGATTAGCCCTATCCGCCTCCTTCGACGCCGCCCACGGATAAGCCATAGACTCTATTTTCGCCAAGACACGGCTTCAGAACTTGCCTCGGAACCTTGAGCGGCCACCTGGCCCCTCCGCTTCCCTCGCCCACACCGGCGTCGCCCTATTCCGCCAGTAACCTCTAGGAGAAACCATAGCCACCAACGAGACTCGAGGCGCTGTGTAACTCGCCGTCCATTCGTTCCCGAGCCCTCGCATATCCCACACAAGGCCACGCAATCCGCGCCGACGCCCTCTCCACCCAGGCCATCAGCGTCGCCCACAGCTCGGTCAGCGGCTCGCGGTGGGACGTCGCCGAGGGGGCCTTTGGTCTTGGTGCGTGCGATGTGGGGGGTTGGCGTATCTTGAGAGATTCTGCGCCGCCAGGATCGACATCTTCAGCGAGATTCTTGACGAGGATCCGACGCCTTAAGCCAATAGCCCATCGCCCGCATCGAAAGGTGGAGATACTAGATCGAAACCTACCGAGGATCCTCTTGAAATCAGCATTCTGTTCCCCGGCAGCCGTCCACCATCAATCCACGCACCCAAGTCCCTCGATCGCTTTCCCCCTTCCGCCTTTCCGACTCTAGTCCTCCCTCTGGCATGGGCATGGATTCCCGCTTCGTGGCCAGCCGGGAGGATCTTTACAATGTCCAGATGGAAGTGAAGCAGCTACAGGCCACGCAGCACAACACCACGGAACGCCTACTGCGTGTTGAGAGACGGCTGGCCGAGGACGCGGCCGTCAAGTCGGTCTGGGCCACCTCGCCGTTCCCCAGCGCCCTGAGCGGCACCCCTCAGCATGGTGTGTATTCCACGAGACCCGGATGTGACGTCGCCTGCCCGATCCGGACTAACACGACAACTAGGTCCCCTCCAAATCCCGCCCGGCGACGTGTTTGACGAGTTCGACGAGCATGGCCAGAACCTGCTCGGCTCCCTGCATCTGGATGCCGAGGACGAACCCATCCGACGCGGGGCTGCGTCGAGAGCGAACAGTGTCCGATTTGACGAGAGCGCGCTGCACGGCGCCAATTGGGGCCAGGGCGCACGGCAGGCGGGCGACTTTGCTCCCATCCGACCCAGCAGCGGCTTCGGTATGATGGAGAGGTCCCTTTCCCACAAGTCAGACGGTCGACATAGCTCCGCCGGCCACTCGGTTCACTCGGTGCACTCGATAGCCTCGGGCCGGGGAAGTAGCCTGGGACTAGACACGCACTTTATGGGCGTTGGGCGAGAGGACGACTCTCCGCAAGACATCCCTGCGCCGCCTCCCGGTCTTCTTGTTCTGGGCTCTGTTCCTGCTATTGTGCGGTGCTGGCTGTCGGAGAACTTTGCTCACAACACGCTACTCTACGCGGATGTCTGTTCAGGAGCACAACGCTCGACGCTGGAATACTCTCTCGTGAAGGAGCTCGGGCTCGAGCAGGACATCCAAAAGGGCGCAGACGGCGTCAGCCGCCTGACTGTGACGGTCTACCTGGCCGAGGCCATCGTAGCCCAGTCCAACTCGACGAGGTCGCCAGCCCCGGGCCCCAACATACCGTGCATGACGGTCAACTTCGAACTGACGGGTATAGAGCAAGCCGAGACCCGGGAGGCGGGCAAGGCCATCCGCATCTTCATCGGCACCGACGCCCTGCGTGCTCACAGTGCCGATCTTCTCTTCTCGCAGAACCTCATGACGCTGTACAGCCGAGACCGAGACAAACTGTCGGTTCCCTTTGTACGGCCCGAGGACGACTCGCTTTTTCGCTTCCTGGCGACAACAAATCTGGTGCCGGAAAAGCCCAAACTCAACGCGTCGGCGCCTGAATTCATCCTAAATAACATCAAGCCGCCGCCGCCCGCTGGGGCACAGCACACAGGCTTGCAAACCCCGACCGAAAAGGAGAACAAGGGAGAAAATGGCTCTCCGGGACTCCCGCATTACCAGGATTCCAACTTTGGTCCTTCGAGCGAACATTCTGAGAGCGGCGGCGAGAGCGAGAGGGCTTCCATGGACAAGGCCAACAACAACACGGAGCACTCGGGCAGTGAAAAGGAGGTGCCGGTTTCGTCTACAGAGAGCGCGCGTCGAGATTCGACGGGCATCTGGGGCTCTTGGCGCAACAGCACAACCAACGGCGGTGGCGGCGGCGGCGGCGGCGGTGAACATAGTCAACGCTCCGAAAACGGGCTAAGTGGCTACCAACCGGCAGGGCGCAGTCGCATGAAGGTGCTCAAGCCGAGCAAGTCGCTGAACTCGTCTTCGACGCGACCAGGGGCGCCGTTCGAATCGCCGGCTGCTACGAGATCGATCAACGAGCACAGGCGGAAGAGCCACGCCGGCGTCGAGAGCGCCCCCGCCAGTGCGACGTCGGCTACTGGAAGCACAGTCCGCTGGGAGAAGCGAAGCGTCAGCGGCACCGTCAGCAGCAGCATGGGGATGGCGGTCAAGGAGCCCAAGGTGCAGAGCGCAACCTTGGATAACCGAAACCCACCGTCTATCCTGCCGCGGTCTGTCAACCCGGTTGGAGGGGCATCTGCCTTTTCGTGGATGACTCCCACGTCGAAAACCCCCAAGACGCCAACATTTGCTGATTGAGCAAAGACGTGCGTGCCTGGTAGCTCTGTTAGTGCCTTGCGTTTTCTCAACACCCCTTGTCAACACTAGCCTCCATCTTCGCTGCGTTACCCGCGCTCCAAGCTGCTCCATTTGAGACAATGAGAGCTTTGATTGTCGTAACTCCTGAGGCTTGTCCCTTTTCACTCGGCCGGTCATGAGGGCGGGAAGTTCACGGTTAAACTGGGCGAGGCAGCCAGCCACTGTTCTTGTTCCTCTGTAACGCCTAATTTCGCTCTTGGGAGGATCCTCACCGCGATGACTTGTCGGTGCTATGGAGAAGGAATACGGAGCCGAAGAAGCGGAGTAGACAAGAAAAGCCAGAAAAAAAAGACGATAAAAAATAAAGAGCCAAACTTACAAGCCAGGTATGGATACCTACCATGTCTGTATGCCGGTGCACCGCTGTCACAGAGCCGAGGTGTCGAGAGTGTGGTGAGAGATGATGTCTATGTATATCTACGAAGTAAAGTCTGTCTGTTTCCACCTTTGACACGATACTATGCTGGTGAATCAGCAGCTAGAGAGACGGATTTCTTCCGAAGAGAGCTGCAAGAGTTGCGATAAATGTGATCAGTACAAACCAGACGGATAGACAGGTTTGCCTTCTTTCCTCCCCCCTCTCTCTTTCCCTCTTTCCCTCTCACATCTTGGCCGGGTGCAGCGATCTCAGGGCCGCGGCCGTGTCGGACGACGACTCCTTGACGAGCCCGACGATGGCGCGGAACTCTGGCGCGGCCGCGTCGCCCACGACCTCGTACAGCCAGGCCTCGCTCGACGTGACGACGGCGCCCTCGGCGCGCAGGCGGGCCAGGGCCAGCGGCACCTCCTCGCGGTTGCACGAGCTGACGCCGTCGGCGAGCACGTGCACGCGGTGGCCGGCCCGCAGCAGGTCCAGCGCCGTCTGCGTGACGCAGATGTGGGACTCGATGCCGACGATGGCGACGGACGCCGTCGGAGGAGGAGGAGGAGGGGCGTTGGCGTTGGCGTTGGTGTTGGTGGTGGTGGTGGTGGTGGTGGAGGAAGAGGAGAGGTCCCGGGCAAGGGCGTGCTGGACCGACGGCGTCCACATGGAGAAGCGCGTCTTGTCCGAGTGCTCGCGCGTAAGCGGGCCGGCCGCGGCCAGGAGTCGGTCCAGCTCGGGCACCGTGGCGCCTAGTCGGGCCCGGTTCTGCGTCGTGGCGTAGATGGGGATCGAGAGCACCTGGGCCGCCTTGATGACCTTTTGTGCCGTGAGGACGCTACATGGGGTGGTGGTGGTGGGTGGAGGGGGTGTGTGTGGATGGACGGTCAGGGTGGCTGGTTCTTGATCCAGGGACAACAACACACACACACATACGACACATACAAAAGCTCATGCTGGGCCAGGAACTGCCCCGAAAGGACTGCTTACACCTTGTCAAACTCCCAGATGGCGTTCCTGAACTTTTCTTGGATGTCACACACGCTGTGCGGTCCAAGATAGGAGCCCGTTAGTATCCACATGCATATGCGCACGAGATATACATGACCAGATGGCCAAGGTGGAAAACTAACAAGATGACGGGGTTCTCTACAGCCGTCGAAATCGTCGAGTCAGCGGCTGGCAACGGCATTGAGGGCGATCAGGCCGGTTTGGAAACTTGGGAGGCAGGTAATCCAAACTCACCCAGTCCCCTGGTCGTCCCAGGGGCTGCTGCTGCTGCTTTGGTGGCCATGGAAGCGATGCCGGAGGTGGCTAGACGGCGGCGTGGGAGGACGTGGGGCTGACGGGCGAGAGAGGAGGGTCTGGTAAGGGCCGAGGGCAGCAGGTGTCGCATCTCAGTTTTGGTTCTCGACAATGTTTCGTTTGAACTCTCGACACGACCATGGCAAAGAGGAAATAAAGTCGTCAACAGCGCACGTGCTTTGCTGCTGGTGCGATACCGCCCCGGAAGAGGTCGTCCGGCCTTGAATGTCTGGTCCAATGGCTGGCTGGGCTGGCTGGCTGCAGCTGCCGAGGTACCGAAATCGGCTGGGTGGGGGGGTCGAACTACGGGGGTGGGCCCTGTCTTCCCGCCTGGCGGAATCACGGATCAGCGGCAGCGTCTGTCTGACCTTGGCCCGCCAAGACTGCAGCCGTCGACAGGAAACGACAAGGCATAACCAGTGTTATTCAGCTACTGCTCTAAAAGTAATGATTTGAAACAGACCGGGGGAGATCAGCCGCCCTTCAAGCCGACGTCATGACTACGTAGGTAGAAACAAAATAGGGGAGGGGGTGAAGGAGACAGTCCGTCTAGGCAAACTGCATGTTCAGCAGGAAATAAATCTCGACAAACAGGGTGGAAAGGCCCGGAGCGACCCGCCCTGGCCGAACAGGCATCCGAAAGACTGGATACCGTCGTCTTCAACTATCCAAAGAACGCCCCCAGAAACCGACCGTCTTCCTTCCTCAAGCCTCCCTCAAGTCGGTGTTGATGACAAGGTCGTCCTTGCCCTTCATGTGGACGACGATGGTCAGGCCCTCGAGCCCGAGCTCGTCCTCGTCCCCGCGGCCCAGCGCCACGTCGTGGGCCTCGTGCCACGCCAGCTCCGACGCCCGCAGGTCCGACATGGCCACCCTCAGCTCGTGCACCTCGGACGCTAGGACGAGGTACCGCTCCTTCCAGACGCACTCGTGTTCATCCGACGCTGCATCGGCCGTCTGCGGCCGTACAGCCTCCCCGCCCCTCGCTGTCGCTGCTGCTGCTGCTGCTGCCGCCCTGTCGTCGCCACCCGTCTGGGCGCCTGTCGACGCCGGGGTCACCCCCTGTCCGGCCTGCCCCTTTCCGGTCGTGGTCTTGTGGCCCTGGGCTTGTTTGCCCAGGGCCTCTTCGGACCTCTGCCATGCGTGTGCGCCGGCCCCCTCGTGATGGAAAGTCCTGGAGCTATTTTGCTGTTGAGAGGACTGAATGTGGTGATCACGGCGTTGTTCGTGTTGATGATGATGTTGGCTATGATGTTGGCTATGTTGATGCTGATGCTGATGCTGATGTTGATGCTCACGTTGATGGGTATACTCCTGATCATGATTATGATGGCCGCCTTCTTCACGCTCACGTTGTCGTCCATGCCGTTTCTCACTGTGCTGTTCAGCCGAGGCCTTCTTCTGCTGCTCAGCTGAGGCAGTTTTCTGCCCTGGTAGACCGACCTCTTTCTGCTGCTCAGTCGAGAGAGTCGCCTGCTGTTTGGCATGAATGCTATTCTTCTGCCCGGCCAGAGTAGTCTTCTGTTGCTCAGCTGAAGCCTTCTTTTCTTGCCCAGAAGAAGTCGCATTCTGCTGTTCGGAAGACGCCTGCATCTGCTGCCTGGTCGAGGCAGTCCTCTGCTGCTCGGCCGAGATGGCTTTCTGTTGCTCCGTAGAAGCATTCTTCTGCTGCTCAGTGGGGGCTGTTTTCTGCTGTCCGATAGAAGCCATATTCTGCTGTTCGGGTGAACATGTCGGCAGCGCGCCCGCCGTCTAAGCGCCAGCAGCGCCAAACCTGACACCCGTCATGGCCGGCCCGGCCTGTGGCGTCCCGAGGGCCACCTGCTTCTGGGCCCCGGCGGCCGTGGCAAGCCCTTGTGGCCGTGCCTGCTCCGGGGCCCGAGTTGGCAGTTGTTGCTCCGGGGCTCGCTCCGGGGTCTTTTCCAGGACCTGCTCGGGGGCCTCCCCTCGCCCCGTCTTCTTCAGGACAGCCCACTCGCGTCTCTCAGGTGCCTTTCTCTGCGTAGGCGGATTGGGCCTCGCGTGGGCAAGTCTGGCCCGGACGTCCCTGAGGTTGACCGCCGAATCGCCCTCGGCCTTGTCGTCATGCGCTTTCGAGGTAGCGGCGCCATCCCGTCCCATGTTGAACCCCGAGTTACGCTCCTCTTCAGCCCTGCGCCGCTGCGAGGCCTCGGCCTCCTCGAAGCGGCAGTGGCCCCTCTGCTTCATGTCCGCCATGATGAAGGGGTTGTCCCGGAGGCGGTCCTTGCCCGTGCGTAGAGGGCGGATCCCTGCCGGCGGCATGGCCTGAGACTCGGTGCTCAGGCGATCGCCGTAGCGGAATCGCTTGCTCGACGTGGTCTCGCGGCCGGTCGCTGCCCCGTGCGTCGCCAGCTTCTCTGTGCTGCTTGCGTTGGCAACGTTGCTCTCCAGGGAGACCTGGGCTCGGCGGCTTCTAGACAGCGCGTTACAACGGTGCTCTGGGGCGGCGGCCGGGATCGCGCACATGCAGGTCCAGCATAAGGCATGGCCGCATTCGTGACAGAAATCCGGCGCCGTGGTTATGGCGCTGCAGACATGGCAAAGTCGTGGGGTCTTCATCGTGATCAAGGCACGAGGAGTTGATCTAACGAATGTATAAGTGAAATGCCTGTGGTTTTCAGCTTGGGCTTAGGAGAGCCCGAGGCGGCCAGTGAAAGCTGTACGGATGGATTGTTGATAGATGGTAGATGAAACTTATTGTCCGTACGTCTGGTTACCAGGCCAGCGGTCCACGGCTCCTGCGTCTCTTGTAAATCCCATACAGCAGTCAGGGTATGGTAAAGGAGCTACCCACGTCAGTGACGACAGCACCCACCTTCCATTCCGCCATGAAAAGTCAGTAGATAAAAAGGCGGAAATTGGTAGCCATATAGCCCATAGCCATGCACGCCCAACTACATCGGCAGGCGCCAGTTAGAGCCTTGATGTCATCCCCAGAGAACTGCCCGGGCAATTCCCTCCCGTAGGTCTCGAGTCCACGGGGTCACATGGCGAGGAAAAGAGGCACGCCATCCGCATCCTAGCAAGGACAAACATGGGGGGCAACTTTTTTATAATCAGATTATGTTACAGGGATAAGATGGGCATGTCTATGACAGAAGTCTATTTCAGGACAGCCTGCAGACTCTCCAGCACCTAGTTTCGCAAAGCCCATGTTAGCACGCTGCATGTGATAGGTGGCGCGCACTCGGTTGCAGACTCACCTCCAGCTCGATCTTGGCCTCTGCAATGTCCAGCTCGCTTCCGCTGCCGCTGGCCACCTTCTGGGCCTCGGCGATCTGGGCCTTGACGGCATCGGCGCTGAAGTCCTCGAGGGGGAAGCCCTCGACGGCGTTGATGCTCATGTGAGAGTTGGGCTGGACAATGGCGAAGCCGCCCGACACTGTAATGGTTGCGCACCACGGTTAGCCCTGAACGAAGCGGTGCCTGCGGAAGGGGGTTATGGTGACGATGGGAGAGTCGCCAGAGCGACAGGCAAGGGTGGCTACCCACGGAAGAACTGCTTGCTGCCCCCGCTCTCCTCAATGACCTCGACCAGGCCGGGCTTCAGCTGCTCCATCGAGGGGACGTGGTTGGCCAGGACGCCCATCTCGCCCGACTCGGCGGGGATGTTGACCTGCACGACATCCTGGGACTTGTAAATGGACTGTGTGCGCGCAAACTCGAGCGTTAGCGTCCGCGGTTCGGGAGGGATATTCGCGACGCTGTTCGTGGGCTTGGGGAGGATGTGGGCACCGTCATACCTGGTGGGGGAGCGACAAGCTCAGCTTGATCTGCCCTGGAGGTCAGCATTGAGGTTTCCGGGTGGGCGCATCGCAGGACACAGAGGGAGAAAACAAAACAAAAAAAAGAAAAAGCCGCGCTCGGAACCGGGGGAAACTTGCCTTGTCGGAAACGGCCTCAGCATAACCTCTTCGCTGCAGCGGGACTCGGACGGCCGACGGGCGGGCCCGGAGAGCTACACGGGCGACACGAAGCGAGTTCATGGTGATGTCGTCGGCCAATTGGCGGGGTTGGGATATTGGCCTCTGTTGCAGAGACGGACGTCGTCGACGGGGAGATGGGTGATATGTGCTGCTGAACCAAGCTTCACAATTTGCCGTGGCCCGCTGAGCCGATGATTTGGTCCCGTGATTTGAAACGTGATCTTCGGCCTGCAGTGGTGGTTCCAGTGGTGGGTTCTGTCCCCAGCCACACGCCAGACAGCCCGAGCCACTCTAGCATTGTGGCGGGCACCTTAGCAAGTACGTACCAGGTCCGTTAGCAGTAAATCACCAGTCATGTTCATGTCACCTGGGCACGTTGGGCGCATCTCGAGTTTGCGGAAACCTGCAGCCAGCGAGAATCTGGGGAGAGAGCCCTGATTGGAGACTGCGACGGCTGCGTCCGACTTGGACGGATGTGACCCTGCCCGTCCGTCCTCGCGGCCCAACCCAATGATGCCCGGCGCACATCACATAACACCTATGCCCATAGTAGAAACCCGGCGAACATGGGATCTCCCCTCCTTGCCCACTCCACCAAACCCGTGGCGACAAGCCTATCGACATCATCAACCACCGCCGGGCCCGGTCTCTTCGCGCCTGAATCCCCTGAAACTCCAGACTCACACGCCTCGAGCCTACAGGGCAGACGCCTGCGCGCAGAGGCCGCTAAGCCTCCCCGGCGACGCCGTAATCCAACCTAGCTCTCTTTTTCCTGCTCGGTGACTTTCTGACGACATCGTCGCACTCAAGAGGATCCCCCATCCGGGCTGTTTCATCAGACAGGAGGGGACCGTTGTGGGGTACATTCTTGCACGAGAACGGGGGGTCTCGACTTGGGCGACCGGTAGTGACCTGAAGCTTGAGGTCAGATGCAGCCACGTTTCTAGACCCGTGGCACGCGCGAGCTAGCTTTCGTCTCTCTGGCGGAAAACGGTATTTCCAACTTTTCCGGCTCACATTAGCTTACCCACTTGGCTGCCAGGCTGCATCTGCATCTAGCTCTGTCTCTGCCTCTACCTCTACCTCCTCTCTCTCCTTGGCTTGCATGTGTCGAAGGGGGTTGGATATTTGTGTTTGGGCCGGAGGCATGGAGGGTATGGTATTCGTGCGGTGGCCGGTTTGCTAACCGACGGTTCCACTCCTAATATCACATCGACTGGCCAGCCGCGGGCAAGACGCAAAATACAATCAATCATATGTGGCCGCATAAGCCTACCCCGCGGGACGCCGAATGCGACACGAGACCTGCCAAACAGAGCATGAACTACGTTCCATGTGAATGAAGGCCGTCCGTCGGCGGCGGCGCCGTACCCCCGCGTTTCTCCTCTCGGATGGGCCCCCTTTTCATGTAGGCACGCCGCGCCAGCGCCGAAAACGGCAAGCCGAGGAGGGAGAAGGGGGAGAGCCCATGGGGGAGGGGAGGGTGAGGTGTGGGTCTTTCTTTTTTTTGGGTTGAGCTGGAGATCGCCCCGGCCCATCATCGCCAATCGCCCTGATGATCTCTGCGCCGGCTGGGCGCGACTGACCTGCCCTTGGCCCGCGACCTATATGCGCGTACCACGTTTCAGTCGACGACCTGACCTGACCAGCGCACCAGGCGGGAACGGACGCTCGAGTCGGAGCAACCGCTCGTCTGAGCAGGAAAAAAAAAAAGAGAACCAGATATGCCTCATTCCTGCGCGATGATGTGATCTCCCCTCTGGTCCGCAGGGTCTTCCTCCCTGGCGTGCTAGCTCCATCAACCGACCATCCATGCCGGTGTCTTTTTCCATGGATCGACGGCGACGGGAAGAAGAAAAAAAGAGGTCATGCCCCCTTCCAAACAAAAAAAGCTACGCAAAGGCATGCTCATTTGGTTGACACAAAGCTTCGTGAGCGGCACGTGGGGGATCTAAACGCGCTGACATGAGGATTTTCCTTCTCACATGTTCCCCGCCGCCGCTGCAACAGGCGACGGGGGCGCGCAAACAGGGAACAGCAGCGGGTACCAGGGATTTGACGATATGGCGTTCGGACAGATGGGGGGCGCGCGCGAGAGGGATATTTTCTTTTCCTTTTGGTCGCATGGGACCGCGTGGAGGAAGGGTGACGTCGGCGAGTCTCGCAGCCGGCTTCCCACTAACACCTGGTACTCGAGGCCAACCCGGCCTCACCCTCCTCCAAATCATGCTGTCCTGGGCGGCTGTGCTGTCGTAGCACCGGGGACGTTGCTGTTACGGCATCCCAAGATTAATCACTGGATGGAGAACCCGTCCACCCGCCGCTACCCATGCATCCATTCCATCCCATCTATCCATTACTGTGTGCCAGCCCATCCCATCCCATCCACCCAACTCGCCCACCCACCCACGGCAATCAGCAATCGCACACACACTCAGCCATGACACGCTCAGCCATGACACGCTCAGCCATGCCGGCCACGTCCTCCGTTTCGTGGGGGCAGCCAAGGGCCGATCGGGAGCGAGTCATCGGACGGCCAGATTTTCCTCTCCTTCTCTTTGTTTTCCTTCCCTTCTTTGTTTTCTTCCGACGACCGCAGACCAACCGCTAATCGACGCACTCCCCCCTCTCACACACCCCGCTTCCCAGCGTGAGCTGTGAGGGATTTGAGCGGTCTGGTGTCTATTGCTGTGCCCTTGTTTTGGGGGGGGGGGGGGCGGGGGGGGGGGCG